TTGCCTTTTTTTTTTTTTTTCTTTTTTAGCTCTGAATATATCAGCCCACTGCCTTCTGACCTTCAGAGTTTCTAATGAGAAAGCTGTTGATAATCTTATTGAGGATCTTTTGTCTGCAAGTTACTTTTTCCTTGCTGCTTTCAAAATTGTCTTTGTATTCCAAGTTTGACTTAATGTATCTTTGTGTGAATCTCTTTGAGTTCATCCTACCTTGAGTTTGTTGAGCTTCTTGGATGTTTATATTCAGGTCTATTATCAGATTTGGAAATGTTTTGCCCATTATTTCTTCATATTTTTTTCTCTGCTCTTTGATCTCTCTCTTCTCCTGGGACTCACACTATGGGTATGTTGGTCTGCTTAATAGTGGCCCACAGGCCTATTAAATGCTGGTCGCTCTTCTTTAGTGTTTTCTTTCTGTTCTCAGACATAATTTTTATTATTTTAAATCCACCGATTCTTTCTTCTGCCTAATCAAATCTATCTTTGAGTTGCTCTAGTGAATTTTTCATTTCAATTATTGTACTTTTCAGCTCCAGAATTTCCTTTTGACTTCTCTTTATGTTTTCTTTCATAGATTTTTGTTTTCATTTTGTTCATACATCATTTTCTTGTCTTTGTTCACCTTATCTTTTAAGTTCTTAGAACATCTTTAAGGGTTGCAGGTTCGAGTCCCAGTCAAGGGCACATACCTGGATTATCAGTTCACTCTCCAGCCTATGTAGGAATGTGTGTAGGAAGCAAACAGTTGATGTATCTCACATTGATGCCTGTCTGCCCCCCCCCCTCTTCCTCCCTCTCCTCCCTTCTTCCCTTCCACTCTCTCTAAAAATCAATGGAAAAAATATCCTCAGTATGAGGATTAACAACAAATAGCTGAGTGCTTGAGTCAATGTAGTTTTTCTTGCTTTACTTTTTATTATGAAAATTTTCCAAAATACTCAAATGTAGAGAGAATAGAATAGTGAACTCCCTTGTATACTCATCACCAACTACAGTAATCATCAACTGGTATATTCTTTTATATAATCTATAGCCCCTCCCACTTCTAACCTCTCATGGTTTTATTTTGAAGTAAATGTAACACTTTATATCATGTTTCTTTGTAAATATTTCAAAATCTTACAGTCTTTTATATGACTAGAATCAAAAGTTATCTTCTGAGTTGGTGCTCATGAGTAGCTAGCATTGTAATAATTTTGGTATAAATTTGATTTCCTACCTTTCCCATTGTAATAAATGGGCAGAGGGAACCAAATGGCTTTCTTGCCATAATTTTTTAAGAATGTAACTTCTTTTGTAACTTTAAATAGCCTTGTTCTTTCATGCCTTCTTCTGTAATTGCTTAAACAAAATGAGGTAAAGTTGTACTATTAGTTTTTTTTTAATTAAGTGAAATATTATTAATTTGAAGTATCTCAATAGGTCATTGAGAAATGAATATTTTCAAATATTCATAAAATCTCATGTCTGTAAATTGACTATTTTTGCTTAAACAGCAATCTTATAAATAGTATCTTTATGAGATTTGGTTTTCACGGAATCATTCAAAGACAGACTATGATATTCAAAGGTATGAATCCACATAAAATTAATGTCATGCTTACATATATATAACTAGAGGCCTAGTGCATGAATTCCTGCACAGATGGGGTCCCTCAGCCTGGCCAGCGATTGGGGCTGATAAGGGCCGTCTCACACAGTCCCTGTTGGAGCAATCGAGGCCCGCCAGCCGGCCGGAGGGAGGGACCGCAGGAGGTTGGCTAGCTGGAGGAAGGGACCAAGGAAGGTTGGCCCACCATGGGAGGTTGGCTGTGGGAGCACACTGACCACGAGGGGGCAGCTCCTGCATTGAGCGTCTTCCCCCTGGTGGTAAGTACGTGTCATGGCGACTGGTCAACCAGTCATTCAGTTGTTCGGTAGTAATGGTCGCTTAGGCTTTTATATATATACTAGTGGCCCGGTGCACAAAAATTTGTGCACTCGGGAGGGAAGGGGGGGTCCCTCAGCCCGGCCTGTGCCCTCTCGCAGTCTGGGACACCTCGGGAGATAACGACCTGCTGGCTTAGGCCTGCTCCTGGGTGACAGAGGGCAGGCCCAATCCCTAGGTGCAGCCCCTGGTCGGGCTCAGAGCAGGGCTGATTGGGGAGTTGGGGCGCCGCCCCCTGTCATGCACAGAGCAGGGCAGATTGGGAGGTTGCGATGCCACCCTCAGTCATGCTCAGGGTAGGGCTGATTGGGGGGTTGAGGCACCACCCCCTATCACACTCAAGGCAGGGTCAATGGGGAGGTTTCGGCGCCACCCCCTGTGATGCACAGAGCAGGGCCCATCAGGGGGTTGGGCGCTGCCCCCTGTCACTCACAGAGCAGGGCCAATCAGGGGGTTGGGGCACTGCCCCCCCCTCCCCCCGTCATGCACAGAGCAGGGCCCATCAGGGGGTTGGGGAGCTCCCCCCTGTCACGCACAGAGTAGGGCCGATAGGGGAGTTAGGGCACCGCCCCCTTGTCACACACACAGCAGGGCAGATCAGGGGGTTGGGGCGCCGCCACTGTCACACTCAGGGCAGGGCCGATGGGGAGGTTATGGCTCTACCCCGTCACACACAGAGCAGGGCCCGTGGGGGGGGGGGGGGGTTGGGGCACCACCCCCTGTCACACACAGAGCAGGGCCGATCAGGGGGTTGGGACGCCACACCCTGTCACACACAGAGCCGCAGGGCGATCAGGGGGTTTGGGCGCTGCACCCTGTCATGCTGATCTGGTGCCAGGAGGCCTCGCTGCTCCGCTGATCCCGGTGCTGGGAGGCATATTACCCTTTTACTATATAGGATAGAGGCCTGGGGGCCGCTGGTTTGCCCTGAAGGGTGTCCTGGATCAGGGTGGGGGTCCCCACTGGGGTGCCTGGCCAGTCTGGGTGAGGGGCTGAGGGCTGCTTTCAGGGTGGCGATTGACTGAAGCTGCCAACCGCTCCTTTTTTTCTTTTTTTTTTTTTCTTCTGGGCCAGCTTTAGCTCTGGCTCTAGCTCTGAGGCTTCCGCTGCTGGTTTGTTTGCCGTTCTATAATCGAAACAATGTATAACTTCAGCTCTGAGATCCCAGCCAGCTATACTTGTTAGAATGTTTCAAACTGCCAGCTCAGAGGCCGGCAAGTCAGGCGGGAGCAAGCAAGCCTCATGTTCGCTTCCAGCTGCCTGGCTGCCGGCCGCCATCTTGGCTGACAGTTAATTTGCATAAGGATACGCTGATTAGCCAATGGGAAGGGTAGCGGTCGTACGCCAATTACCATTTTTCTCTTTTATTAGTGTAGATAGATAAAGTATTCCCTACACATTTTAAACCTGTTGCTTCATGTACCCCAAATGCATACTTTATAATTATTTATCTATGACTGTGTTGTCTTTAAGCATCTTATCATATGATCGTCCATATTTAGTACTTTGCTTGCAATAATGTAAAACATTTGAAGTCTGAATATTTACTTTTTAGAAAAGCCCGTACACTTGGAAGAAAATGGTTATTTTGTATATAATGCTTGTTTCATACAGCTTTTATGTATAATTCTTTATTAATTGGATTAGAACTATTAATACTTATAAACATTCCTAACAGTTGTTTAAAGGATAGTCATCTTTTTTTTAAATATATTTCTTTATTGATTTCAGAGAGGAAGGGAGAGGGAGAGAGAGATAGAAACATCAATGATGAGAGAGAATCCTTGATCAGCTGCCTCCTGCACACCCCCTACTGGGGATCGAGCCTGCAACCCAGGCATGTGCCGGAATCGAACCTGGGACCCTTCAGTCCACAGGCTGACGCTCTATCCACTGAGCCAGAGGCAGAGCAACATCAAACAGACTGTCAAACTACAGCAGGAACAGCAGGAACTCCGGGGAGGGTTGTGGGGAGGGGGGTAAGAGATCAACTGAAGGACTTGTATGCATGCATATAAGCATAAACACTGGGGGGGTAAAGGGAGGACAGGGGAAGGTCAAGGGGAGAAAAAAAAGGAGAAAAAAGGAGACATATGTAATACGTTAAGCAATAAAACAAAATAAAAAATAATAATATTGAAAAAAAAGATAGTCATCTTTTTTTTCTATGAAAATGTCATTTGATTTGTTACTTCTATACTTCCATATGTGTAAAAGAATGGTAATTTTGAGGGAAATCACATCAGTTTTCTGGTATGTTTCTGATATGTTCTGATGTGTTTTTCATTTGGCATAAATTACACTTTATTCATTAAATTTCATTTCACCCATATAATAATTACTTTGAACTTAACCAGAAAACCAAACTTTTTCAATCCAAACTTAATTAGATGTATTTCTGTTTTTTGCTTGTTTTTTATTTGTTTGTGGTGTTTTTGTCTATTTGCTTTTGTGTGTGTGTGTGTGTGTGTGTGTGTGTGTTGTTTGAATTAAAAAGTTTTGTAATTGTTGTGTGAGTGGTCTAGAATAACAGTTGGAAAGCAATAATTGGGGCTGAAAATAACTGGGGCTTTTACATTACCGTTCTGGTTCCAGTTTTCTAAAAGTATGTGATTGATTTCTTTGTGTGGTAGACTTTTTTTCATGTTCAAACACAATTCATTGTGGGAAAGAATTTTTTTCTTTCTGGGTGATAAAGTCATTGAAATCTTCATGGAATCCTTGAGAACAGAAAAGCTAATGACTTCTAAGCAATTCAGGGAGAATAGTTTATTATACTGAAGAATACTTGTGGGTTTTTTGATGAGGCTGGTGAACTTGTTTGCAAACCTTAAGAAATTATCTGTTTGAGCAGAAATAATTTATTTCCCAAAAGAAAATCTATTTTAACCGCTTATACCTATTTTCATTTGTTGCTGGAAACTGGGTACATTGTTTAACATATGCAAAGCTCATATAAAACTATAATTGAAGAAATAGCAAATCTGTCATACGCTTCTAACATTTGTGAACATTAATATTTAATGTGTTCAATTTTCCTGTTAAGCTAACACATTATAATTCTTTCTTTAAGGCAAATCCTCCTCCAGTACTGGTCAACACAGATAGTTTGGAAACGTCGACTTATGTAAGTTCCAACTCATCCCCACATCAAATAATTCTGCTTTCCCTGTTCCATTTTCTTTAGAGATGAAGATGACAGCATTACTTTCTCTTACATAGTTTACTTATAATATTCTATCACTGATCTACAGTTGTGAAAGTAAATGAAGCCATACTGTCCTTTTTTGGTTGTTTCTTTTCCTCATACTTATGCAAAGCAGAAATGTTGAAATTTATGGTTTTATTTTTAAATTAAAATGATTAACTTTCACCAAAGGCTATTTCTGATCAGTGGTCACTAACACAATGCCATTCAGAGTCATTTTAGAAGTTTAATTGAATAACTAAATATTTAGTAACCAGGTTTATGTGTGTATTCATATATTAAAATAGTTATAACTATATAACTTTAAATTTATTGCTACTTTTCTCTAAATTTACTTAGTTAAAAAGCCCTGTTTCCCTTAAAGATAATTAGCCAGAACATCAGAATCTGATCTAACATTTTTCACCCCAAAGGAAAATATCTTTGGAGATGTTTAAGTAGAAGTAGTACCTGTGCGTTTTTAAAATCAAATGACACATAATTTCATAAGCTGTAAAAATCCTTTCCTCTTATTTTTGAACCGTAGTTTATTTCAGGCTATACTTTAAAACATTCTATTTGGCTTTATTTTTTTGTATTCATATGAATATGGATGTATCAGATAACGGGATTTGGGAAAAACCTCAAATAATATTGAAAATAAACAGACATGCTCTTCTATACTTTTTTTAGTCAATGTTATCTTTCACATTGATGTAGAGTGCTTAAGCAGAATTTTGTTTGTACATTTGTCAATATTTTCTTCTTCACATTTCTTTCTTCCTCACTTGTTCTCTTTGTTGACTTATGTTTTGCTTATGGGCTAAGTCAGTGATTAAATATTTTTTATTTTTAAAACCCTTTCAACTGAAAGATTAATATAAAATAATTAACAGAGAAAACAATATCAACAAAGAAAATACATATGCATTTTAGGGGAAATGTCAACAAATTAAAAGCAAATAAGCATACTAAGCAGCCAAAAGTTATATGATTTCCAGTTTGTATGACATAGCATTTAAAAAAATATTTTTCTTGCTAAGCAAGGTATGTTGAGGGTCTCCAAGAACACTCACTACTCATTTTGGGAGATTCACTGATTCACAAGACTCAGCATAAGATTTAGTACAGCTATGTAGTAAGTTGGGCTCTGCATGTCAAGTTATAAGACAGTATGTCTAGAACAGTGGTTCTCAACCTTCTGGCCCTTTAAATACAGTTCCTCATGTTGTGAGCCAACCATAAAATTATTTTTGTTGCTACTTCATTGCTGTAATGAATCGTAATGTAAATATCTGATATGCAAGATGGTCTTAGGTGACCCCTGTGAAAGGGTCGTTCGGCCGCCAAAGGGGTCGCGACCCACAGGTTGAGAACCACTGGTCTAGCGGATCCCATGTATAGATTTCCTTATACTTTCTTCCTCCATGAGATGTCACACAGAACACTCTTTTCCCTAGCAATAAAAGTACAACACTATATGTGAAGTGTTTCCGCCCTGGGAAACTCATTGTGGACTCAGTGCAAAGTTTTTTATTGCAGGTTGGTCACCTAGGCACCCTCTGTCCAGCACATATCAAATTTCCAGGCTCCCAGAACGGGAAAGCAGGTATTCAGCATAAAATGTATTGTCTCTATAAACTCTAGCCATAGTAAATTATTACCCTTTCAGTTATGGAATGGTGTGAACACACCCAAAATTAATTTCCCAAATACCTGCTAAGACCCTTCTAGAGATAGCAGCCGTAGGTCTGGTATGTTAACCCTTTTCTGGACATAAAGAAATAAGATAAATTCTAATTCCTCAAGCAAGATTTGCCAGAGTGTGCTACTTTATCATTCTTAAAGAACACAGTGTTCTCTATAGCTCTTGCTTATGTAGGCAAAAAACATGTGTTTTGTTTGGGTAAAACAACCTTAAGCTTTTAAGAAACAGGTATTTAATCCTGAAATTTAAAATGTATTACAAAATGGTTTTAAACTTATTTGTTATTCCTTTGTTAATTCCTTGATCACTTAATACTAGCTATATATTGATGAATAAAAGTAAGAAAAATTATGGCTGCTACCTTAGAACCATAACTTTTCTTGTCTATAGTCACTACACTTCCCTAAATTAAGTAATTAATTGAACAGGTAGTGCATGTACATTGTGCAAAATTCAAAAGATACCAAAAGATATCTGGTGAAAAGTAATTCTTTCTTCCACCCCTGCTTCCAATCTTCCAGTTCACCTGGACTAAGGCAGAAAGTGTTAGTAGTATCATTTATGTCCTTCTATAAACATTCTCTGCAAATGCATGCATATATGTGTTATTTCTATACTTTTACCATGTAAAACCAATGCCCTTCTGATAATTTTTGTATAGATATTTTGTATATATATGTGAGTATAAAATCAGAACATACTCATATGCATAGATTGCTCAAAGAGTATGTCAATTTTTAGATTTGATCATTATTGAGAAATTGCACTTCATAGAGTTCTATCCATTTATACTTCAACAAAAAGTACCTGTTTTTGCTTCATATTGTCACAAGCACAATGTGTTAATAAACTTTTATAGCTTTTGTTAACATGTTTAGAATGTATTAACTCATTGGTTTAATTTGCATTTCTATCTAAAGATCACCTTTTTCTACCTTTTCACCTTAAAAAAATATATGTTGAGATATTCACATACCACAAAATCTACCTTTTTAAAGTGTATAAATCAGTGGTTTTTAGGTTATTCCAATATTGTACTATCACCACCACTTTCTAATTCCAGAACATTTTACCACCCTATAAAGAAACCCTGTACTCATTAGCAATGACTCCCCACTCTGCTCTTCCCTCAGCCCCTGATAACCACTAATCTACTTTCTGTCCCTATGGACTTGTCTATTCTGGGCCATTCGTATCAATAGAATCATATAGTATGTAGCCTTTGTGCCTGGCTTCTTTGACTCAAATAGTGTTTTCAGGGTTCATCCATCTTACAGTATATATCAGAACTTTGTTTCTTTTCATGGCTAAATAATATTCCATTATATGTATATACTACATTTGGTTTATTCTTTCTTGTGTTGAATTTTTTTTTAAATATATTTTATCTTTTACAGAGAGGGAGGGAGAGGGATAGAGAGTTAAAAACATCGATGAGAGAGAAACATCGATCAGCTGCCTCCTGCACACCCCCTACTGGGGATGTGTCCGCAACTAAGGTACATGCCCTTGACCAGAATCGAACCTGGGACCTTTCAGTCCGCAGGCCGATGCTCTATTCACTGAGCCAAACTGGTTACGGCACTTGTGTTGAATTTGAGACGCTGCTTTCATTTCCCAGTGGTGGAATTGCTGCATCGTATGATAATTATATATTTAGGGTTTTGAGGAACCACCTGTCTTCCATACCAGTTTCACCATTTACATTCCCACCAGCATTATATGAGGGTTTCAGTTTCTCCACATATCACCAATCTTATTATTCTTCATCAACAATGTTTTGGACTTTATTATAGCCTTCCTAGTGGGTATGAAATGATACCGCATTGTAGCTTTGATTTTCATATACTTAATGACCAATGTTAAGCATCTTTTCATGTGCTTATTGGATATTTTTATATCTTCTTTGGAGGAATGTCTATTCAGATTCTTTACCCATTTTTAATTGGATTATAGTCTTTTATTAGTAAATTGTAAGAGCTCTGTATACTAAATGTAAGTCCTTTATCAGATATATATTTGCACAGATTTTCTCCTGTGGATTGTCTTTTCACATTTCATAAATCCTTTGAAGCACAAACTTCATATCTGTATATTCACCTATTCATATACCAGTATATGAGTGTGTGTGTGTATGTGTGTGTATATACACACACACATACACACACACACACTAGAGGCCTGGCGCAAAAAAATTTGTGCCTCAGCTCGGCCTGTGCCCTTTCGCAGTCTGGGACCCCTCAGGGGATGTCCACCTGCTGGCTTAGGCCCGATCCCTCATGGGATCGGGCCTAAGCTGGCAGTCAGACATACCTCTGGCAGCCTGGGAACCTTGGGGGATGTCCACTTGCCAGCGGGAGTAGGCCTAAGCTGCAGTCAGACATACTTAGCACTGCTGAGGAGGCGGGAGAGGCTCCCGCCACCACTGCTGTGCTGGCAACCATCAGCCTGGCTTGTGGCTGAGCAGAGCTCCCCCTGTGGGAGCGCACTGACCACCAGGGGGCATCTCCTGCATTGAGCATCTGCCCCCTGGTGGTCAGTGTGTGTCATAGTGATCAGTCATTCCCAGTCATTCTGCTGTTAGGGTCAATTTGCATATTATTATATAGGACTAGAGGCCCAGTGCACAAAAATTTGTGCACTCGGGGCGGAGGGGGGATCCCTCAGCCCGGCCTGTGCCCTCTCGCAGTCTGGGACCACTCTAGAGATAACCACCTGCTGGCTTAGGCCTGCTCTTGGGTGGCAGAGGGCACGCCCAATCCCTAGGTGCAGCCCCTGGTCGGGCTCAGAGCAGGGCCGATTGGGGAGTTGGGGCGCCACCCCCTGTCATGCACAGAGCAGGGCGGATCGGGAGGTTGCGATGCCACCCCTAGTCATGCTCAGAGTAGAGCCGATTGGGGGGTTGGGGCACCGCCCTCTGTCACACTCAAGGCAGGGTCGATGGGGAGGTTGCAGCGCCACCCCCTGTCACGCACAGAGCAGGGCCCATCAAGGGGTTGGGGCGCTGCCCCCTGTCACTCGCAGAGCAGGGCCAATCAGGGGGTTGGGGCGCTGCCCCCTGTCACTCACAGAACAGGGCCGATCAGGGGGTTGAGGAGCTCCCCCTGTCACCCACAGAGCAGGGCCGATCAGGGGGTTGGGGCGCCACCACTGTCACACTCAGGGCAGGGCTGATGGGGAGGTTATGGCTCTACCCCGTCACACACAGAGCAAGGCCCGTGGGGGGGGTTGG